ATCGTCTGTGTAAAACTAATAAAAATATTTCATTGCTTTGTAAAATATAGTGGGTGTGACCATCTTCAGAATATTTCTGATAGAATCCAGTGTCTTTTATGTGATTGTAGAAGTACTAGACCAGTTCAGAATCTAAGTTGATTAAATAAAGTAATAATGAATGACAGCCCAAATAAGCAGCAACATTGACTAAGGCTAGAACTTTACAAAGTAAACCAGCAAACCATTCTTATAGTAATACACAAGAGCATCTAAGGCAACAGTTAGAAAAGGACAACCACTTTGCCTTGATTTGTTAAGGTACACACTGACTGAATTGTAGTTTATCTTTCTTTGCATGGTACTCATTCTGGGTTTCACTTTCACTGTTGAGAGGACGTTGGTAAATAGAATGAGTATTTGCCTTATGCAGTAGAGCCAGTGATTTGTCTCACATTCCTCATTGTCTGGTTCAACCTCTTTCTACTTAAGGTGTTTCCCAGACACTGCACAATTTTATAATTATTTTATTTTCTTTTTGTAATTTTTCAGTTAGTTATTCTTCACATAATGCACTGATCAAAGCCGCTTTTTTTTTTTAGCGCATGGCGTTTTTATGTGATAGAGATTTGTAAGCTATGACTCATAGATTTTTCTTTTTCTTCTTCTAAGATCATGAGTGTGCAAGCACTCATATCAAGAAAAATGGTCATGCAAATGAAAAAAAAAAAAATCTGCATTTTCATTCATGCTACTTTGAAACTAATTTCCTGTGTGAACTTCTCATTGTGAAGGCCAAATGAAAAGATATGTTTTTCCTTTTCATTCACTCATATAAACATGTGTGGATAGCTTACAGAATTGAAAAAGAAGTATTGAGTTGCCTATGTAATAGTTTACTCACATGCTTACAAATTGCATCCTTTTATTTGATTGTGTGCTGTAGCTTTATCCCTGTAACATGCAGTGTTGTCCAACACAGAACAGGCTCATGGAGAGGCTTCTTTTTTCCCCTTTTAGCACTTAGGCCATTGGTGATTCGAGGCAAAGCTGGCACACTGCACTTCTCTGCTTTGAGGAAGCCCCTCTATACTCACCTTGTATTATGTTAATAGACTGTTTGTTGTTTGCTCCTCTTTTCATCTCAGATCCTGAATTAATATCACAATCTATGCTCTTTTCTGTCTCTCCAAAAGTATTTTTTTTCTATAATATTGCATGGAGGGCAGTAGTTGATTTAATGATCATGGATGAATAACACTGAAATTAAAACTCATGTAGTTGTTTTATTTGTAAGCTTGGCGTTTATCTCAAAACTACTTTTTACAATTTATAAGTTCAAATGAGAATGAAACATCAGATCTGAGAGTCCAGTGGATTTTTCTGTTTGGAATGCTGACTCACTAGAGCACTTGCTCCTCCATTTTTGTCTTGTCTAAACGCAAATTCTAGTACAAATGAATAATTCTTATAGAAAAGGAAAATCTCTGGGTTTTTTTAAGTGAAGATTTTAATAATCTGGAGTGAGCCATATGGAATATTGGGCTAGAGTTTCAAATGTAGTCTCTTATTGTTTAAGATAACTATCAAAAGGGATTTTTAAAGCTACCTAAATTTCTATTTGTACTGAAATGAATACATTTTTGAGTGACAGTCTTTGAAACTTCATCCCCAGATTGCTGCATTTAAGGTTCTTTATTTATCCTGTGGTACTACCTATCGTTGTTTCAACTTTTCAACATCCAGCTAAGGACATAGTCATATTGTTGTATCAGTGAATATTATCTAGGGAGGCCAGTTTATCTCATTTTCCTTCTTTAGGCTTTCTGGCAGGGAACTGTAAATTGTTTTACGGGGCTATCTAGAGCCCATGGAGAATGCAGGTTAGTTTGCCTCAAGGTTCCCATCCTGCTGAGAAAGGAAATTCTTGTCAGACTGTTACTTAGTGATCCAAAGATGTACTAAAGGGCAGAGGGGAAGACGTTTGATCCCCTGACAACATGGCTGGGGATAAAGGTTGCCTCTGTGAATTGCTTCATCTCCACAAAGGTGGACTAGAAGTGCTGGTTTGAGAAGTTCAAAGCTCCCCATGCTAATGACCATCTGCAGAGCGAGCACAGAGGGGTTGAGAAACGATCATTCTTCCAGCTCTCCAGCGCAGGAGAAAGCTCTGGAAAAGGAAAATCGTATTTTTCCTTTGCTCCACATCTCAGCCTCTGGTCCCGCTGAACAGGATGGGTTCACAGCATAGGTGGGTCAGCAGGCTTCAGAATATAGCCTGTTGCCCAATCCTCTGCAAGGATCCAAGTCCTGGCTGGCCTGCTGTCAGGAGCTGCTGTGCTGCATAAACCTCTCCTTCCCACCACACTGCAGTGGGCAGCACTCACACTTGAGATGTTTGGGGAGGTTGGCACTTGCGGGCAGGGGAGAGCGGTGCTTTTCCTGTGCTTAAATGCAAGTATATAATCAACTTTCCTGGAACTCAGGCTGTCCTGAACTGAATTTGTACAGAACACAAGCTAAATGCTTTCTTTGGTATCTAGAGAGATAACACAAGAGAAAACATGAGTGAGTTTATGAGCCTTAGCTGAGGTCTACTATTTACTAGATAGCTAATAGCTGGGAATAAGATGGGGTGTTGGGATCAGATTTGGATTTAGTATAGAGGTAGTGCTTTAAATGTAATGTTAATGCTCAGAAATGTATCCTTTAGAGATAGGACATTCTGTGCCACTCCCTTTCATGAACCCAGCTGCAGTATCTTCAAGTTTATGGTCTAAATCTTATTTTGCAGCCTCCATCACCTGTATCTGTTTACCAGAGACAGCAGTGTAGGTACGTGCTCAAAATGACTACTGGACTGAAATCCTGTTCTCTGCCTTACAGAGTAAAGCACTGGGAATATTTCCTTCTCTGTCCTTTGGAGCTCCCTCACTGTACTTATCATCAGATACAGTTAGTCTTTTGCTGAAAGTTATGAGGCAAAAGTAATTCAAAAAACTTCAGTCTTTTACTTGTTAGATCAAAGGATGGTTGGCAAGATGGTGAAGAACAATGTCAGAAAGTTTCATCCTTTGCTGATTAATCACTGCTTTGGACCAAGTAAATGATGCTTCCTCTGAGTGAATGAATGTGACCAGATTTAAAATGATTTAGAGAACTGTCTGGCCATTTAATATAGGTTATTTTTAAAGTACTGAATTTAATTATAACATGGATTATTATCTTCAAAACAAAAGAACACAGACTAGTTTTAAAGAGAGGCTGAGCTACAAATATAGCATAGACGCTGGGTAGGGAAATCACACCTGTTTAAAAACTGTGGAGTAGGGACTCTGGTTCTCTTCTTAGTCTGAGCCTGCCATGCCTGTGGAAATAAGACCCAGTGTACTGTCTTTTATGTGCCATTTTCCCTGGCATCCTGTGCACTCACTCCTTCGATTGTCTTGCTCATTTCCAGTGCTCCTTTACACTCAGCAAAGGGACTGCAGTCCTGTGATTAGGAAACGATAAAGACAGGAATGAGAAGTTGAGCAGTAACAAGCTGTTTCTCTGGGCTTTTAGTCACTCCTCTACTAATTCAATGTACATTCTCTACAAAACTTGAACTCTTCCTCTGCATAATGAGAAAAGGAGCATGTGTTTATTGAGAGCCTCAGGTGCTCATTGTGTTGAGAATGTAATGCTATTCATAACAGATTGCTGTGCTAGGGAGGGTGGCTGTGGGTTTGTGAGCTACAGTCTACACAGACATGACTAAATCTGTCTCATCTTTCTCCTCTGAGAATCTCCGTGGTGCTTCAGTTGCTATTCATGCCCATGAAGGATCTGGTGAAGGAGAGAGTTGCTTCACAGGCCAAAAGCCTAGGGAGGATTTTCACCTTCAAAGAGAGATTAGTGGCAGTCCGCACGTCATTGGGAATCATATAGTCTTTTGGGGGCTTATGAAGTTTGTCAGGATATTTTTGAAGCAATTTTAGGGACAACCAGTTTTTTCCAGTAAGGGTACTTAGTGGATTTTTTTTTTTTAAATCCTTTTAAAGAAAGCACTTCAATTTTGGGAAAAAGAAAGGGTGGGAGGCCCAAGTGCCAGGGAGATAAACTGCAGTCACCACATGAAGACAGTGGGGCTTAGCACTTAACAGTGACCAGCAGCCAATCCCAAAATGTCTTAGTGCCCACCTGCAGTTTGGGATGTGAAGTTTGAAGATGCCTCTATTTATTTCACAAAAGCAGTTGTGATGGCCAGAAGAAAGAGTTATGGTGTGTGCTACTTTCACAGATGCAAATACTGACCTCAAAGCGTGCCATGCTTTTAGGAGAATGATAAAGCCTCCTTTTACTTTGAAAACAACTAGCATTGCATGAATTATACTGACATTCCCAATTTATGCCATGCATATTGTGTAGAGACTTCTAAGGAATTAATTTGTGTGTTACAAAATACGAAGAGTTTTTAATTCAGACTGGATATAATTTCACCCTAAAATGCATGGCAGATCTACTCATCATACTGTGTTACACAATTGTGCAGGATGTGTTTTGAAAGTAACCTTCAGATGATTCCTTGTTTACAGAGTTAGGATGTAGCTTTAAGCATTGATGCTACAAAGTGTAAATAAAATTTTTCTGCCTTCATGCTGCCACTGTTGGTGATCAGTCTGGCAGAGCTTTACTATGAGGAAAATTTCTTCCTACAATAGCTCAGCAACACATTAATATTCTGATGTCACTTTTAGCCTGAAAGTTAGGAGTTGATATGTTACTGGGAGGATATAAAAAAGTAAAGAAATATATCCCAACTAACTTAATACTTTCAGGTTTTTACTGTAGCTTTGCAAATTCTGGTTTATTTGACTTTCCTCACTGCATGAATCGTCTGAAATACCAAACAACTCTATGTCTGCTTTCTCTTTTATACCTTCACAGAATTCTCAATTCTTTCTCTCTTGTCTCTCTTTCTCTTTGTTTCTCTCTTTCTGTTTTTCTCTTTGGTGGGGTACCCTGAATCTCTGAAGCAGTGCAGGAGGCCGAACAGGAGGATGTAAAGGTGGTAGTGGACGCCCAAGCTCCGAAACCAACTAAAAAAACCAAGGGATCAGCTGCGAGCTGTCAGACTAGCAGCACCAGAAAGGAGAAAAAAGGGAAACACAAAGGTTAGCTGCATGCAGCTGAATGTCAGATGTTAAATTAATTCTTTTTTGCAGTCAATTCTCTCTCTTTTTTTTCTTTTAATTTCTTTGAAAATCTGAAAATTGTCCAAAATTAATTTCCTGAAATTTTTTTTTGAGATGGGAAAATGTGTGACTTGGTCTTTTCTGGGCATGTACAACCTGGGAGTGAAAGACTAAAATTTGTAAATGCAGTCTTTTCCAAAGGAGAGTGTTTGTTCAAATTGCAGAGGACGAAGAAAGTACTGATGGAAGGATGCAGGTGTTTTCCTGCATTATTAAAGAAATGAGAACCATCTTACTACAGTATGGTTTTTTACATTATCTGCAAGTAATGTAATTTGGAGAAACAGCCCTAAATTGCAACCACTTCTGTCCAGACTCTTACAAATTAGTATTTAAGTGGACACTTTGAAAATCAATTCAGCAAAACTGAGATAACAGCCTCAAAGGGGTTTTTGAAGTTGTTACATGAGTGTTACTCTATCCCTCCTGCTTGACACTGGAGAGGTGTTTGTATGAAAAGTTTTCTGCAGTGATTTTGTGTATGATTAGGTAAAATAAAAAATACACTATTGGTAGTGACAAAAGGCTCCTGGCATTCATATTTATATATATATATATATATATATGTATGCACACTCACGAAGAGAGAGAGGTTGTTATGCCACATACAGTTACCTTTTATTTGGTGGTGACTGACTAATGAAATGAAATAACTTTCAACTGTTCTTGAATAAAGCCACTGTAACACTATCCTGCACTGTATTCCTGTGTTGTGCATGTCCAACAGTGTCTCCATTGTTGCTTGGTGTATATCTTGGCCAATCTGTTTAAAGATAGCAATGACTAATAAGGTTAATTATTGAGGTCAGGGTATTGGGGCTTATCTATGGGGATTTTGCAGGGCTTGAGCCTACCTTAGTAAAATCCTTTACGTATTGCAGCTTAATTCTTGAGATCTGAATCTACAGATTGTCTCTCTGTCTGTAGCTCCTCTGGCTGCAAGGGAAGCCCTAGGTTAGACAGGCTTTAGAGTCTGGCCCTGAACTAAAGACTTTATTCATATATTTGAAAAAAGATGGTGTGTGCCAATACCTAGGCTTAAAATAATAAGGAAAAGTAAAAGGTAAAATTAGCTGAATGTAAAAATTGTTGGCAAAATAAATGAACTGAAAGCTAATGTCTCCCAATTTAATGTAAAAGGTAATGACATTCCAGTATAGTAATACAAGTGCCAAATTTTATTTTGAAGTACATCATGCTCAAGAGTAAAAGTTCTTTTACGAGTTTAACAGAAAACCTGTTTTAGGCTGAAAAGGAGCATTATGCAAGCTAATACTTAAATCATGGTTATGGCATAGCCTTGAGGCTCTGTTTCATCTCATATGATGTCTATTTTGCCCTTAAGGAGTGTCTGTGTCTGTGCTGTGTTCAGAACTGATGGTACTGTGCTGGTAGTTACAGCAGGTTTGATGTGACAGATCTGCACTGTATAGGACCACTATCTGTCTACAGCCATGTGTGTTCTGGGCAGTTTTCTTATGAGCTCTTGGCTAAAATATTCCAAGGCCCAGTGAGACACACAGCAAGGAACACTCACTGAAGTGTCTGACTCGCAGGGCTGTTCTGCAGAGCCCAGTGATGTGTGTCTGGGGCTGTATTTGTTGGGCAGCTCTGCCAAATGTAGGCGGGTTAGCCCGTGAGCAGAGTGTGTTTACTGTGAAGGAGCTGCACAGTTTTCTATTATCTCACAGCAGGTAACACCTAGTATTTTTCTCACATGCCAATAATATTTTTATTCATTTTCTGAAAGGTTCCACAACCGGGCTAATGTTGGCATATATTAATAAAAGCAAGTTGTGTCAGTAAAAGTAAAGTCACTTTATGTAGACTGAGAACTTTTGCTTGCTGTTACTGCTGTTGGAAACTAAAATTGTTAGCTCTGGAAATCTCAGCTTCTGCTGCAATCCTTATTGCTCATCCCATTATGCTATGTTTGCTCTTCCCTGGCCTCCAGCATTTGCCCAGCAGTTGCATCTTGTGCATGCTTCCTGAGAGTGGAGGCATTATTCATCCATTACACTAAAAGCAGTGTCGAGTATCCCCTCTCCTGAACTTTATGTTGATGATTAGTAACACATAATAGTCAGTTATATTATGTTCAGAGTGTGCACATACCACCATCTCATCCAGCTCATCTACTTTTTCTGTACGCTGGTATTTTACTGTTCATTCATGTATAATGTCACCCTTGGAATAATATCTGGTTTACCTTTGACAGTGTTGTAGTGTTTGCAGGGGATTGTAACTGGATTTCCAGTCTTCCATTCTTACCAAAGCTCCAAAATATTGCTTTATTGGACAAAAAAGTAAAACCAAATGCATCTTAAAAATTCCAGACGGATTTTACTGATAAATCCACTGCAGACATAGCTAATTTTGTACTTCAGGACTGAAGAAAATGTAGTGGTAACAGAACTCTGTAGTGGAACTTGTATCAATTTTTGAGTTACTTTTAAATGTGAATTTTAAGGATAGGTTTTATAATAGTATTGAATGAATTTGCTTATAACTTCAGCTCTAACTAATGAATATGGATGAAGGGTAAGTGGTTTTATGCAATTTTTTTTGGCACAAGAGATTTTGTTGGAGGGAGTTCTTTGGTAATTAGACCAAAGCTTGGGAAATTTTTTGCTTATAGCTTTGCAGTTGCTTCAGATTTGTCTCCACTCTGACAGTAACCTTTGCACGTCCTGTAAACAAGCAGGACAAATGCTGAGGGGTGAATTCACTTTACATGTTAAAATAGCATTTTAAAGGTTTCTGTTAGTATCTAGCTGTAGTGAATATTACCCTTGTAAGCACAGCCAAATCCTTTGTGTTTTAAGAAAAAAGAACCTTTAGACCAGATCCTATGAAAAATAAGCTAATTCAGAGAAAAAGTTGTTGAATTATACATGAATAGATGTTGAAGCTGTAGAGTAATGACTGTACTCTGATCTTAGATGTGTAATGCTTTTTAAGTGGCTTGAAGAATGATGAAACTACGATCAGAACAATGTGCTAAAGACAAATATGAGAAATATCAGGTTTAGTGAGCTTACACTAACATAAGGCAAGAAAAGAAATGTGACTAACTGCTCATGGCAGTGCATTTTGTAATTCTGTGATGCGTAGCATGGTATTCAGCAATTTTTTTCTAAATCTGAGTATTACTGGTATTTCTTAATGGCAGTATGCAGTACACACTGTACCTATTTTTAAAAAGAAGCATAATTTTTGTTGGGCAGAGCCTGCAAATGCAGTAAATTGATGACATTTTGTAGCAACTTAGCACATTAAATTGATATTTCTGAAAGCTTCGCTCTCCCATTTATGGTTTGACATATTATTCAGTATTGGAAAGAACCCCTAAGTGTAACAAATGGATATGGAATATGGTTGTCTTTCCAATGCAGACAGTGGATCAAATTCTGGTTTGATTTGTGACACTAATAAGGAGTGATTAAGGATATTAAGGATATTAAGGATATTAAGGATATTAAGGATACTAAGTGAACCCAGTGTACAGTATCACTCGGTGGTTCAACAGAAAGATAGTGCAAATAAGTGAAAGTATTTGTAGCAGGAGTCTATGGAAATTATGCACCCTACATAGTATTGCAAGTACCTCAACAGGGCATCTTTAGCTGTCAAAATACCTCAATGATTCTTTAAAATTGGAGATTCCTGAAGGTGTTACAAGTACACAGTGGTGTGGGTTATGTTGTTTGGTGCATTTTTTCTGCCAATATAGATTTGTGAAGAAGTAAATAAATATACAGGATAAAGTGATTTTTTTGGCTATGAATAGGGTAAATCAGGAAGATAAAATGGAACCTTTAAAGAAAATCAGAAAACCTTGCAAAGTCAGGAGTTAATACAAAGTGAAATCTGGTACGAAAATTCATGAATCATTCTGTGAAAAGTTGTTGTTGGTTGTTTGTTGGTTTTTTTTTGTTTGTTTGTTTGTTTGTTTGTTTGTTTTTAACAGCACTCTGGCACTCAGAGCATTTAAGTACATTCTAGGAAAAACCTGGTCTGAACTGCCATGGACAATATAAATGTAGATTTTTTTTTTTTTGTCACTGAAATCAGAAATCTGTGTGTGTTTAAAATGTTGAAATAAACAATGCCATCCCAGAAATTTCTCTTTTATGTTGCACATTAAATGTATATAGTACATTGGGTATTTCCTGCAGACTTTGAGAGTCAGGAAGCAGACGAGCTACTCTTACACACAGCTCTTTTCCTGCCAGGATGGCTATTTCACATTTTGATTTGGTTTGTTTCTTCCCTGTTTCTTCTCTCTCTTTCACGCCTGTCTGACTGTTTTGATTTGTGCATCCTGTCCCATTTTTATATGTAACAAGCAGCTACATTAACACTGGCTGGCTAAGAAAGCAGCAGCTTTTGTTGAATAAGAAGCATCATTTCACACTGTAACACTTCCTTTCTGATGAGGGTAGGGAAGTTCATGTAGAGCAGATTTATCTCGGCTTCCCTGTAAAGAGAAAGGGTAGGAGGAACAATGAATGAGTTTCCACCAACAAAAGTCCAGTTATTTCTAGATCTGACAAACCTTTCAGGTTGTGCTTTGGCGACACATGAACTTGATTGTGAAGAAGTAATTTTGACCTCCTCAGGATAAAGATTTATTAATGTACAGTTCCTGCTATTGTTCTCTAGATTTGATCAAAGTGAATGTAGAGTTTGGTGCTGAAGCACTTTTCTTTAACTGCCCTGGTCTGGTGTTAGCAATAGTCCTTCTTTTGATGGAAGCTCTCTAGGGGTCCTTTTGGAAAAAAATTCTATATTCTCCCTTCTAAACAAATCCCTTTGTGATTTTGCAGTTCCTTGAACCCAATCAATGGATGCACTGCCTCTATGAGAACAGGAATATACTGAGAAATGGCTTAGAAAATATTGACAGCAGGGTTTGC